TAGCTCAGACCGCACACGTGCAACTCGGTGGTGCCAGTAGAGGTGCCACGGCGTCTGGATTAATTCCTTTGGGAGTCAGACTCCAGAGTCCACCTCAAGTGGGTGTCACACCACAGCAAAAACGGTATGAGGCAGTAAGTGCATAAAACAGATCATCAAAAGTCAAAAAAAGGTTAAGAACCACAACGCATTCAGTGTTGTTCTGAAGAGACAAAATAAGAATACACAGTGAATTAGTTTAAATTTAAATGTTTGTTTTTTTTTTTTTTGTATTAAATGAATTGTGATGTCAGACTTCTGTCTTCTCTTAATGGAAGCTGTGAGACCATTCACACTACGTGATGTGATAGTGGAAACAGTGAGTGTGCCTTACTGACAGCTTTGCTCTGTACCTACATGTATGCACTAAGCTCTGAGGCCCTTGTCCAAACGCCTCATGTCCACTGGTCTGCAGCAGGTTCAGTGACTCACCAGAACTGTAGGATATTGCACATATTGGTTTAGTGGCTTTAGTGATTTCCCCTCAGCGACGCACTGCCACTCTCGGCCCCCGGAGGCACTAATGAGTCCTGTCTGCAGCTGTCCAAACACGGCCGTCCATCATGTGTAATGGGCCAGTGACAGTGGGACTGTCAGATCATTAGAACACTTAACACCTGATGCTAAATAGCTGGAACATATTTTAGACTTTATCATTAGGGACGAAACCCCTCCCATTTGTACAGGCTTTAAATTCCCATTAAAAAGAAAAATGCAGATCTGAACCCACACACTCCATTTGGGAATGGCTCTTTGTGAGAAAAGATTGAACTTATAATAAATGATTGAAGTTAAGTCATATTTCAAACTGTCATTTAAAGCAGCAGTCTGCAACTTTTCAGGTGAAGGGTTCAACCACATGCCTGTCTTGATGTCTTTCTCTATGGATCTGAAGTTGCAGATCAGTTCTGTATAGAGACTCATGGTAGAATACAAAAAAAAAATAAAAAATCTTAAATTTTTTTATGCAATCTGACCAAAAAGAGCAGATTTTGTTGGAACTAGAACAGCTGAGATGATATGTGCTCTTAAACAAGTCTCTTAAACTTAAAATTACATTCACGAGCTAAATAGCAATAGCCAACAGTTTTTCAATGACTCCCACCTTTTTGTGTAAATCAAATGTAAATCGGACTCCTAAACATGACCATGAACGCTTGTAATGATCACAGGCACTTTCTTGAGTTTTCAGTAGGGATGTAACAATAACCAAAATATCGTGATATCGTATCGTCAAAGTTCTCACAATAATATCGTGGACCATCACAATATATCGAATTACAAGTCTCTTTGCTTAAATTAAGAGTTATGGTGCAGCAACAGCTAAAATATGACAGAGGGAACTACATAGACCATGACCCTTTGTAGTGTAGACTACAAGAAGAAATAACACTTTTAAGTCTTAGTTCTTTGGATTAAGACTTGTCAAGGCATTTTAAGAGCAAAAAGTAGCATATTCACAATTGTGTTAGCCTCCACAAAATATCGCAATAAATATCGTACTGTGAGACGTATATTGTGAAAATATTGTACAGAGAGATTTGGATATTGTTACATTCCTAATTGTAAGCCTCTGCACCATACTGTGAGCTTTCCCACGAGATCGCAAAAAATATCGTACCGTGAGGTTCATACGGTGACGATATCGTATCATGAGACTTGAATATTGTTACACCCCTAGTTTCTTTAAACTTTTTGACAGTGTTTGCTAATGTGTGCTTTATCTCCATGGTAACTTCTGAATATACCATAGCAATACATCGAGGACACCCCTTATGTGATTTCACAGCTACATAGCAATACTAACAATACCTGCAATTGAGTCCTAGCACGATATATCTACATATAATGGCCATACTGTGGAACATTCTATGCAAAGCAATAATCGTTGAGACAAACAGTTTGAAAGAAAAGTTACATAGTGCAGCTTTAAAAGAAAAAAAAAGAAAAAATTCAATGAAAAAGCAAACAAAGACTATAGCAGAAGAGGTTCACTTTTTGTTTAATGGTTTAAATGTTTTCCAGACTTTTAACTTCACGTTGGGTTCTGTATTTCAAAAACAGTATCATGTGTACAAAAGGCTGAATCTTCAATATGAAAAAAACCCATTGAAATTATTATTCAAAAGAAATTCTAGCTGAAACTCCCACCCCACATGGTCATATTTCTCGCTGTATGGTTGCGCGGTCTGGTGTTTGTGGCTGATGTCTTCACCAGGCTGGTCTGTGGTGCTGGGGTCTGGGGTCTGGGGTCACTGCTCTGTTTAGTCTGCTGTATACACTGGTCACACTGGTGTAAATGAACACAGAGGAGGAGATGGTTTTAGCAGACGCCTTCAGACTCAGGCGGGCTGCTCTGCATGTGTGAACGCATAAATCTTTCTCTTCTTTTTAGGCAACACTATATTTTGGAATGAAAATGCCCAGATTTTTTGTAGGTTTGCGTTAATATAGAGTAGAGATGGAATGAAAAGACCAGACATCAAACAGTCTGTTTAGTTTCAGAAAATTTGGACACATTAAAGTAGCCAGGCTGGCGCTACCTAGTGCCTCTGCTCAATTTCATTTCTCTCCAGCAATTAGGTCAGGAATCAAAATACACTAGGTGGTTTGTAAGAACCCCGGAAGTGCGAGTCCTGGCATCAGCCAATCAGGAAAGAGCCATATATTCTGTGTTGTGAATGATTCCCGAGATCAAGGATTTAAAGCCAGAACAAACAGAATGTTTGGTGAATTTTATCAAGGGGAAAGACGTTGCCCTTCTTCCTACGAGATTTAGGAAAAGCTTAATATACCAGTTAGCCCCGTTAGCGACCCATTACATATGTCATGACCAAACAGCAGCAGTTGGTTAAATGAAAAAACTACCTGCCTACCGTTGAGCAAATGAATCCTAATGCTGCAAGGTCAGACAGTTTCCACGAAGTGAAACCGGCTGATGAATTAGAAAAAAAATGGACTCCTGTGAGCTTTAATTTATGTTACAATTTTGTTACCTCCTCAAAAACAGACCTGGAGTTGTGTTTTGTTTCATTCAGACATGTTCAAACATGGTTTATTAGTCTGTCTACATCTCCAAAGCTCAAAATACTCAAAAAACTCCATTGTCATAAAGCATTAGAATTCAAGTTAACAGCTACCTTTTACCATTTGTTCAGCATAGACTGGCAATTCCAGGGCTGAAATTCTTTCATATGATTCTAGTGAAGGTGTATGGAGTTTAAAAAAAACAGTGGAGCACTTGAGAGAAGAGCTCAGCCTAAATTTGTGTGAATGAAACAAAACACGACACCTGGTATGTTTGATGAGGAAACAACATTATAACATAAATCACAAAACAGTGTGATATGGGCCCTTTAAAGGTGTTATATGTAACTTTCTTTTTGAGGCTTGTCTCCGTGGATGTTATTGTTTTGTCTGGAATGTTCCCCAGAATGCCATTAAACCTATCCATCCTACATTTAACGCATTAGTCTTCTAGTGCTTTTTTGAGGCTGCCATCTGCGCCATCTGTCCCTCCGACCACCATCAACACTCACACGCACAACACACTCATACTTGGCAATGTGGTTAAGTGTCTTGCCTAAGGACACAACAGTATCCCCAGTGGTGTGTCTTCCAAGTACTAACCAGGCCCAGCCTTGTGTAGCTTCTCAGATTTGACGAGAACAGGCTTAGACAAGGAGGTTTGGCCACACAATTTCATATTTCAGTTTCTATTGCTGAAAAAATATCATGCATTCTTTTTGTCAGCGGGGATGCTTCTCCACAGATCTGACCTTTATATTGGCATTTGTTGTTTTGTTACCTCATTTAATGGCATACTGTGGAGAAAACAGCACCGCTTTGAACAAAACACTGTTCCTTGTACTAATTCCGAAGCATATATTCCTAAACACTAAGTAAAACACTAAGTATGTTTTCTAATTTCAGCTAAGACATCATCAAACCATTAAACAACAAAATGACTAAAGGCTTTGTTAGCTTTCATATTTTTTAATTTTGAGTGGTGTTAAACGGCGCATATAACGTTATTTTCTAATCTATTTTATAAGGTTGCTTCCTTATCAATAATACCTGGAGTTACCCTGTATATTTGTAGCCTGATTCAGCAGCCGGTTTCACTTCGTGGAAACCGTCTGACCTCACAGCATTAGGATTTGTTCGCTCGATGGTAGGCGGGTACTTTTTAAAAATTTAACCAATCGCTGCTATTTGGTTGTGACATATGTAATGCACCAAATCCTGTAGGAAGAAGGACAATAATGTCTTTCCCGTTGATAAAATTCACCAAACATTCTCTTTGTTCCGGCTTTAAATCCTCAATCTCGGGAATCGTTGCCAACACAGAATGTCTGTCTTCGTCTACATCCATCTCGACCGCTTTGTTTACTGTTGTGCTGTACCACAAAATTGACCTAGACAGGTGCTTGAGTTTGACGTCATGGCTTCACAGTTCTTCGATGATTAGCCGGTGCGCGGTCTACAACTTTCGTGATTCTTGCAAATCTAGTCGCTGGAGAGAAATGAAACTGAGTAGAGACACTACATGGCACCAGCCTGACTAGTATATTTAGGCTCTAAAACAGAAATGCAGTAATACAGTAATACATACTCCACTACTTTTTTTAAACTCCATACACGATCACTAGAATCATTTGGATGTTTTCAGCCCTGGAATTGCCAATCTGTACTGAACTAAAGTTGAAAGGTAGCCATTAACTCAGATTACCACTACATGACATCACAAGGTAGAAGAGAGCATTTGGAGATATACACAGACTAATAATAAATTCAAACATGTGTGAGTGAAACAAAAACACAACACCAGGTATGTTTTTGACGAGGTAACAACATTTTAACATGGCCTAAAGCTCACAAGAGTCAATGTCGTGTAATATAGGACCTTTAATGGAAGATCTTGTCCTTGCTAAAACTCCTTCCTTTTGTTTGCGTTCCAGGCTCTTCCTTAAAAGCCACAGTGGGACCGCAGGCCGACAGAGCAGCCTGGTGATCCACGGAGCAGACTTCAGCACCAAGGACGTGGACAACGACAACTGCATGTGCAAGTGTTCGCTCATGCTAACCGGCGGTAAGATGCTGCATACACGCTAACCGACTGTCTGTGTGAGCGTGCGTGTGCAAGGACAATACTATGCGGAGATTTAAGAGAGGGCCACAATCGCCAAATAAGTGTCTCCGGTCTCCTGTCGTGCTCCATATACTTTGAAAGTGAAGTAACAGAACACAGATGGGATGTGAAGAGGACACACAAAAGAGGAAGTGAAAGTAAAGGGTAGCTCAGGTTAAGTTATGATGTAGTATTTGTCTTCATTTTGGCTTATGACTTATTACTTGGTGGAGCATATTAAGGGTAGATAAAGTTTAACTGCGGTTTTAGAATAGAACTGTACTGTCTCAAGGGCCTATATTACACTATTTTCTGATCCATGTTATAATGTTGTTTCCTCATCACTTATCTGAAGATGTGTTTTGTTTTTATTCATAAATCGGCCAAAAAAGACCAAGAGGCAGAAACCTGAAATGACCTCCACATGCAAAACCAGTGCTTTTTTATGGGCTGTCATTGTTGCCACTCAAGTGCAACTATTGTTCATTTCCCATTTAAAAGACATGGCATCCTTTTGTGTCCGATTTTTTCACTCCTATGCGACCTGTGTCTGGTCTTTTAATGACAGAACCAGTCCTGCACTGGGTCGGGTACCCATGTGTCTTAGTCAGTCCTGGTTTAGTCCTCCTGGTTCTGTCTTGGAATCAACCCTAGGTTAGTCCCGGTTTAGTCTTGGTTCAGTCCATGGCGTGTGTGGCGAAGACGTTCGCCATCTCAATGTTTCTTCTGCTCAGTAAATAATGCCTGTGAAGTGATGACGTATTTTGACAGTCGAGTCGCATCTGTGAATTCGTATTGATCATTTCATTTCGTGATTGTAGCCTAATTCTTGAAGTCGTAACATTTCAGCTTATGATGATTCAGTTAGAATGCTTTTAATTTGTGTGTGAAGGGTGGAATGTTAACGGGTCTAGGCGGGTGCGGGTTTAACTTTGACAAAATCACAGGTTTACGGGCGGGTGCGGTGCTGTACTGCACGGGTGCGGATCTCCAAAAACAGACCCGTGCATTACTCTGGTCTGAACGACAAAGATCAGATTTTTTCAAATGCTGCCGAGGCCACTTGGATATGTGCTCCTAAAACTGATACATATCTGATCTTTTGACATGCGACTTCAGTCTGAACGGCCAAGTCACATGCATCCCACCTCCACATCAGGCTCAGAGTCTAGTCAATGGAGGGAAAGCGAGGTTAGCAAGTGAATTAATATTTGGGGGGAAATCGCTGTATTCAGGCCAAATTGGAGGGGTCTTATCGGAACCGGGCAGTTTTTGAAATGATTGCCAAAGAAATGGCCGAGCCCGGCAACAGGCGGTCCTGGCTCCAGTGTCAACAAAAAATAAAGAGTCTGTGAGGAGGCTAAAGAACAAAACAAAGGAAGCGGCTCTGGACGTGTAACCTGCCCATTTTACAAAGAACTGGACTATATTTTGGGACACAAACCCAGCGTTTAGACTACTTCCATCACACTTTTGGGGCATTTAAAGTTCACACTGAAGATCACGTACAAGTCACATTTCATTGGAAATGTGAACGACCTCATAAAAAAATTTGATTTCACAAAAAAAGTCAGTCTGAATGTAGCTTAAGATATTGTCCTGTCCATACTTGTATAGATGTCCAACTTTTTTTTGTATGCGTGTGTTGTGTGTGTTCCTTTTTGTTTACTTTTTTTTTTGAACAGTGTATTTAGTAAATTTTGCAAATTATACTAAACGAAAAATCAAACCGAATTTAGATTTTAGTGTAACATTACACCCTTATCCTGCATCTGTCTGTGAGAGTGACATGAACTGATTGGCCTGATCTCAGCATAAATGGCAGGTCTAAAACTGATCCGAGTCATCTGCAATTGTCTTCTTTCTCTAAATGTCAACCTAACCTTTAAATACCAATGAAATCCAGCATTTTGCCCAGTTTTAGCAGAACAACAAACACATGTAACCACAGTAACCGTGTCCACAATATGTAGTCACTATTTATACTTAATGGGACCATTCAGGCTCCTGTCAGCAATGTCAAATCCATTAAATATATCTTTTTATCCCCACATTATTTTACAACTGGACATGGGAATATAGTAAATCTGATATTTCCCATCTATTCAGGCTTTAGAGGAAAATACACTGATTTGAATGCCGACCCAGCCCGTATTACTCACATACAGATTATAAAGTAATGTTTGGTCACTGTCCCATTAGACAATATATAGTGAGCTAGAAACACAGCTATAGTCTTCATTGTGAGGTTCTTAAGATGTGGGTGCGGTTCAACATGTCGCACGCATTTAAAATGAGTGGCCCTGGTGCAGTGTAAGGGGATATGAGGACCGGTCCCTGGAATTAATCAAGCGTCTCTGTACGTTCGTGTTGGAGATTGTATTTAGTTCTTAGGTCATTGCGACGAAAAGCTGGCAAAAGCAAACTGCTCAACACACTCTATAAGGACTGATTTATGTTCTGCCTTAAGCTGTAAGCTCATGAGAGAGGCATGGCAGGACTGCATTCTCGAGAGCCACATATACAAGGGCTATGGGACAATTTATACACAGAGGTCTTGTATAGCCTCCTGTTAAACACACTACAGGCCCAACCATCCTCTTGTCTCCATGGAGATGCTTTTGCTTAACCTTGCACAGGAAGATGGATTTTTGCAAAGTTTGTGGGTTCGCAAACTCAGGAGAATCCATATTGGGTGGGTGGACCAATCAAGTCGCAGCACTGAGGTTTGAGTGGAAGCCAAAGGCGAAATACCCAAACGAACCAAAACAAACATGGTGACACTGACAGACGTACTTCAAACATTTTAGCGTCAAGACACACTATTTTGTATATTTTGTGATCAAATGTGAGTATGGTAAGTTAAGTTTGTGCATTTGTGGACACGGAAGATGTTTGCTTTTCTCTCCACTGGACGCAACAAAAGTTAGATTTTTCTGCTTGTTTCGATGTTGTGACGCTTTGACCAATCATGTCATGTCAGAAATCAATGTTTTTAAACTCCATACACCTTCACTAGATTCATTTTCATAATTTCACCCCTAGAATTTCCAGTCTTAACTAAACAAGGGTGGCAGTTAACTTGAAAACCAACGCTTCATGACATCACAAGGTGGAATTTTGTGCTTTGGAGATGTAGAAAGACTAAAAATAAAGGATTACTCAAACTTTTGTGAATGAAACAAAACATAATTCCAAGTATGTTTATGAGGTGTTTCTGATTATAACATGGCTATAAAAGAATGAGAACTTCGCACATCAGTTACTTAAGATGGGTGCATTGGAGGAGTGGAAGCAGCCCAAGAACATGGAGAAAAATCCCGCACACCGTCTTACTTGCAAATATTATTAAATTTATATATATTTAAATATACTATGTCTATATGGGCCCGGTCAAGCAGAAGTAAACAGCAAGGCCAAAAATTAAAGTTAATGCATCTGATATAAAAATGTATTGAACAGATACATATGTACTCTAGTTTATGAAACTGTTTACCTTTTTTCTGTACCATTTTTGGTTCTAAAGTTACATACGTTTTAAACAGACCATGTATGAAACATGGAACAAAAATTATTTCCCAAATTTCACAGACCTGAAAATCATGTAAATAAATGGATGTATTTCATCATATCTTGTGTTATTCCATCTTTGAACTGTTGATGAAGGTACATGATTTTTCCAAAAAAAATGTATTTAAAATGACAAAAATTTGCTTGGAAGGACTGACTTATTTGATAGAAATAGTTTCCTTTCAGTTGAAGTAATATTAAAGTATTTGGAAGAAAAAAGCGACAAATTATGTAAAATCCTGCACCTTCTACTTGCTTACACAATTTTCCCTCTGTTACTTTTCCCTCCGTTACCATGACCTTTCTTCATAAAAAATCTCATGACTCAAAAAGTAAGAGGTTTTTCAACCTAATCTTGTACCATATGGTAGAAAACTATATGAAGCAAATATTCAAACCAGTTTGTTAAGGATATGGAAGTGAGAACCACTAGTTATCACTGTTTGTATTTATTGCCCAAAAAGTGCTGCATATTTCATTCCCTCTGTTACCGACATGAGTTTTTAAATTTTTTGTCAACAACTTGAAAGAATATCACAGGTTTAACTTGACCCTGTTGGAGTGTAACTCTTTCCTACATTCTGATACTTTACTTATTTCAATAGTCCCTCTAGTTTCTGAATAAGAGACATTTGAATGTCAAAAATCTGCCCCTGTTTCCCTCTGTTACCACTTAACTGGACCCATATGTATCCAGATATTATTCTTATTTTTCTATTATTATTCTGTGATTTTTGTACTAGGATTAATATTTCATTATTATTAATATTAGTATCATTATTATTACACTATATGTTGATTGTCTTTGTTTTGTGAATTATGGTGTTTTGGTACACTGTTTCTTTACCTTGACCTGTCACCCTTGGGTGCTTGCCACACCCTATTTAAGATGGCCACCTGAGCTCTCATTCTGTTTGCCTGACAAAGGCCTAGTGCCGAAACGTTGCACAGTTTGTCCTAATAAATCTCACAATTTGCAAGTAAGACAGTGTGCAGGATTTTTCTCCATGATTATACCATGGCTAAAAGCTCACAAGAGTCAAGTTTGCATAATATAGCAGCTTTAGGCAGGTTAAACAAACATGTGACACCACTAGAGCCAAGTTACAGGTCAGATCTGTGGAGAGGTGAGCACCTACACTCACAGTAAATATGCATGTTTTTCAGTGCATTTTAAAACACCTATAATTGAACAAAAATCTGAGGTAGATCAGTGAAATGCCATACTGTGGAACACTCCAGGCAAAGCAATAACAACTCTCTGGAGATAAGCAAGTGTCCAACCCTCACTAGAAAAGTTACACAGTGCACCTTTAAACACAAAACTATGGGCAACAAAGTGGTTAGTATATAAATGTCCATTTTTATTCATTATTCAGGCTATTTCAGGG